AAAATTTAAACTCAAGTGTGCATTAGATTAAACTGATATGTGCGGGAAAAAAGTGCAAAAATAACATCACATCGTACTTTTTATATTGCACATTTCAGCTTCACCTAGTGCACATTTCAATTTCACGTAATGCACAATTCAACTGCACATAATGCCACTCTATCGTACCCTTTGTGATGCACATTTCAATTTCACCTAATGCACATTACACTTTCATCTAATGCACACTGAATTTCACTTGAAACAAATCTAACGGTCCAGATTCGTTCTCATTTTTCTCATAAGATCGTGTTCTTATTTGAACCAAAACCTATATATATATATATATTAATAGCTTTCGCGGTAAATATCAGATTTGGACTGGAGAAAGAAGAGAAGTCAGGTGGCTTTTTCTAGAATTACCAATAAGAGAGACTGTTACTGTAAGATCATATAAAAGTCGGATTATTCGTATCGATTTTTCCAAGAATTTATGTGATCACTTCTATTATTTTAGGAAAATATTATGTCGTTGATGCAGATTCATGTTGAAGAGTTACTGTATAACACCGTATCATGGAAACCGTTATCACTTGAAGGACTACTCCCTCGTCGCAACACATCATGTATTTTAGTGTAAATAACGTTACTTTATAGTGTACTCCCTCCGTCCCAAAAACAAACTCCCACTTTCCTTAAATGGACGTCCCAAAATTAACTTCCCATTTCTATTTTAGGAAAGTTTTTAAAGGCAAAAACTCATAAATGCCCTCCTCATATCCCTCCTTCCTCTGCCTATTATGCGCCCCATTTACTCCGACCCCTCCTTTCAACCCCACGCAATTATCTCTCTCTGTCTTCTGTCAAGAACCTTCTTCACCTCTCCACTCTCCCCCCTTTTCATCCATGGAGAAGACAAACATCATTGTCCTCCCTCAAATTCTCCCGCGGGATGATGAAACCCTGGGTCCTGAATCAAATCGCCGTGATGTTGAAACCCTAGATCTGAAGAACCATGTCGCGCTTCCAGAATCAAACCTCGGTGATGATGAAACCCTAGATCGAAACATGCATGCCGCGCTTCCTTCTGTCATTGACAGCTTCCCTACAAACCCGAATTCCCCTGCCGCTATGGTGAACAAACCCTCAGCAGAAGCTATTTCAGACGAGGAAGGTGTAGAGTCTGACCAACGAGGGTGGACCTCGGAAACCGACTCTGGATGGGCCATACGGAAGAAGTGGGGGTCTGACTGCGTGGAGGACACTTACGAAGGCTTTCCAGCTTCAGATGACGAAGGGGAGGAGGAGGTGAACTCGGAACCTCGATGGTATCCAGAGGAGTTAGACCACCTCTTTGGCCATTGTCGTAAAAGGCCGTGGATGCCTTGGGGGACTGATTCCTCATAGGGGAGGCTTCTAATCTCTTCTGTTTTACTATATGCTCCTGTCTTTTGTAATGTTCAAGTTGCAGAACTGATTGTGTTTGCTTATTGAATGAAGTTTGTTTATTGAGCTTGTGATGCCCCTCTATTTTGTAAACTGAATGTGTTTGTTTATTGAAGTTGTCATGCCCCTCTATTGTGTAAACTCAATGTGTTCGTTTATTGAACTTGTGTGCCTAAATCTAGTACTCTGTGTATCTTGACTGATGATGATGGGGGCTTTGTATGATCTAAACATTGTGAAGACAGTTTGTGAATTTATGGATATTTGGCTTATTCTCTCCTTGTGTCACCCACTTGTACAAAGTGTTGGAGACCATTTAGGGAAGTCTGTGCACAAGCAATTGATGTTTTTGTGTAGCATATGATTTGGGCTTACTGAATAAAGTCTCACTGCACATAGGGTGGTTTTTGGGTGTGTATTGTCAAACACTTGTAAATTTTCAACCTTTGTGTGCTCAGATGGATTGATAATGCAAAACATTAAATGTTTCTTCTACATTTGAATCAATGTGGCCATACATTTAATACTTGTATGCCAAGAATGTAAGAAACTACAAAAATAGTGTACTATGGGCACATATGCCAGTACATACAAAAACTGTACCCCATCTCTATAAGGGAAGTACATACAAAAAAGATTACCCTCCATGTGCCTGAGTTCATTGTTGAAGATCTACTTGATCTTCACTTATGAACTCACTTCCATGGCCCTGATGTCATGCTTCTGCCTCAAGTGTTTGCATCTCTATGAGTGCTTGTTTTGCTTCATTCATTATGGCATGGCTTGTTTCCACATTTTTGGGTAGCAACCCCTGTCTTTCAAGTTTTTCCTTTCCAACATGCCTCAGCTTGAAGTTGTTCCCCCCTTTGTGCTTTAGTATGTCCTCCATAACATACTGAAGGCTGAGGAATACCTTGTTTAATGTGCTGGGTGTGAGAATATCAAATGCTAATGTCACAGCTTCTACTAATTGGGAAATTGACTTAGGGGCTTGTTGTTCCTTTAATGAGTCAATGGCCCTAAAGAAACCCAAGTCAAGCACATTTAGGTCTGGACTGTTAGGGGGCTGACACTTTAACTGTATGTCCCAACCATCTTCACTTGCACATGTGAGAAAATCTTCATCTGTCATAAGCACATGAGGCGTTGCATTGTCTTGCTGAATGATTACTTTTTTGTTCACTCTGTCTGGCCATTTCCTTTTGATGGCAGGCAGAACTTGCTGCAACAACATGTCTCTGATTACAGGCCTTGTCACATTTAGTATAGGCTTTGTCTCTAGTGTGCCTGCTGGCCTATTCTTACTTGATCTCTTAGCCTTCTCTTCAAATGTGAAAGGAAATATACCTATTTTCCCATCCCATATGACATCCCCTGCATCCCCAAACCTTGGTCTACCCACAACAGTTAAAAACATTATTTTGGGTATGAATTTCTTGGACTGGACAGATCTATATGGATCTTCTTCACTATGGTGAGTGTAAAAGTTGGTTGTTTCCTTAGATAAGAAAAACCACTTTTCATCAATGTGAACATGGTCATAAAAATCATGAAAAGTGGGATTTCTTGGGGGGTTATGACTTATCAAGTGGCCTAAACAAAACTCTAACCTTTTAATCTTGCCTGCCTCTTTCAATAAAGGTTTGATTGCATTTGAGTGCCTTTTGATTTGCTTAGCTTTCACTAGTTTGTGCACGGTTGACTTTGAAACTTGCATGGCAAAACCTAAAGACCTGATGTTCTTTCTCTTGTGCAGTGGGATTTCCTTTATGTTCTCCAAGTCAACTGCTACCCTTTTTCTGCCTACATTTCCCTTTTGTAGGCTTTGAACATTAATGGCTAAACCTTGGTCCATTTGTTGCTTTGCTCTTTTCCACAACTCACGAACTGCCCATCTTGAAATGTTGAACTGTGATGCTGTACTTTTTACAATACCCCACTGAAGTCGCCCCTCATTGTAGTTTACTAAGAGAATTTCAACAATCCGTCTCCGCTCTGCATTTGTTAACTTCTTCCTTTTGTTGGTTGGTGCAGGAGCATTTAAAGTCATGGAAACCTGTGCCTGGGTTGCTGTGTTGTTGTGGTTGGCATGAGGAGTTGCAGGAACTTGAGGGTCTTCAATGCTCATTTTGTTCTTGTTGTGAAAGAGTAAATGAGAGTAAATGAAGAAAGATAGGGTAGATATAAATAGAGTGTAATGGGAGGGAAGTTTAAATTATTTGGCCAAAATGTTGGAGGGAGTTTTTTTGTGGTTGAAAGTCTTTAGCAAAGATCAGATTGTGTAGCAAAGATGGTTTAAAAGTCTTCCCAGTAATACGGAGGAGTATTAGATGTGATATGTAATGAGTGTTATTGAAATGACTTGTTGTGATATTTAATTTTTTCACCCCAGTACTGTTCATTACCCCCCTTCCTTTTATTTGCTCTGGCCGCAGCCCTCAAGGCTAATTTTGGAAAGTCAAAGGCAAAATTTAATCTACCTTAAATTGTGTAAAAGTCAAAATGGGAGTTTGTTTTTGGGACGGAGGGAGTATATACCAGTTAAAATTTGGTGAATTTAAGTGAAAACACTTCATTCACTAACACTCCACTTCTTTACTCTTTCCAAACATGGTTAGTTTATACTTAACACTTACACTTACATTCCCTTCTACTCCCCTGCCAACACTTACTAACACTTCATAACACCCTTTCCAAACAGAGTGTTAGTTACCATCTCCCACCACAGTGAGTCAGTGTCTGTGTCTAGTGTTTCATATCCAATAACTTCTTCGACTGGTTAATCACGATGAGCCACAAACTTGTTAGTTACCACTGCAACGCTAGTTTTCTGCACCACCACAAACCCTATTTTTTCATTCTCGTCGCTGAATCACAACTCTTGTCGATGCCAGTATTGGATTTTTTCGTAGTGGCAAAAAACGTTCACTTATTTATGAAAATGTCACATCGATTTTACCAAAATATGACGCATCGTTGACACTTTTAGAGCCATCAAATTTCAAATCGAACGCACAAAAGTTTTCACATTTTCACATTAAGGTTTCTTTTTATTAGCTCCATAATCCTATTAAGTCACTCTTAATCACATATTTGTCAAGCAATATAAATAGTCATGTTTATGTGTAGAGAAACATCACTCCCAAGGGTGTTTGAAATTTACTATATTTCTGCTTCTTTTTATAAATAGAAGTAGAATCATAATAAAATTTTTAATATAAGTTTTTACGAGCAATTTGAAACATTTTTGAAAACTTATGTACTTTAATCTAAACACTGTGATATACGTACTATATGTCTACTAATTGAATAAGCCCAAACACTAGGAGCCTGGATTGTAACACCGAAATTGGATGGAGTGGTTAATTCAACTGAAGTTTATGAAGTTCTGGCTAAAGTGAACATATGGAATAATTTTGCTGATTTATAAATAAATTATATTAAAATTATATTTTATTAATAAAATAAAAAAAATATTAAAAATAACTAAAATGGTTAGAAAAGTAACCACGATCTTAGTGTTTCTTATTATTACATACTACGTACTGCGTAATAATTTAATGCACGAAATCAAAGTTATGGATCAATGCAATTCATTCGGGTTGGAATAAGTTGGATGATTGAGTTGTACACTTGTACTCCAGCGTATATCATCAACCCGAAATGTCATGCCAAAAAAGAACCTTGAACACCGCGAGATCTGTCATTCGAATACCGTGATCCGAAGTGATCAATGATTGCACATGGATCATTTTTCCGCCATCTCCATTCGTTGCTCAAATCTGGTGAAAAAGTTGATGTTACTGTACTGTAATTCGTGAAGGTTGTTTCAGACAAAGGAGTTGGGGGCGAAAGATGCCAAGCGTCGGTGTGAAGCTTTATAGTGTATTCTTCAAATTCATGCTGAAGCATCGGTTGCAGAATCGAATTCAAAACCAGGTTACAGACGGACCCGATGGCAGCCGCACCGCCGCATTTGGAGTCACTTCTCGGCCAGAGGAAGAGTCCATCGCCGCCGCTAGTCCCGTCTTTACGGATGGAGTGGCCACAAAAGATATACACATTGATCCGTTAACTTCTCTGTCCATTCGAATCTTCCTTCCCCAAACCTGCCTTGATTTCCCTGATTCCGATTTCAGACTTCAAGCTAAATCCAAGGTTAGGGTTACCGTGAGCAAGTCAGAGTCCGTTCCCGGATCCGATCCCAATCAAACACTTATTCGCCGAAGTAGCTACGGCTCTCCGGCCACTAACAATAGATCCATTTCTCGAACGGAGAGTGTTAATCAGAGTTTTAATTACAATAATCACCCGAGAAGTAGTCACGGATGCAGTGCAGATGATCTCAGTTTGGCATCCACTAACGGGGTTTACAGAGGCTACTCACCTGCCAGTAAAAACTGCCGGAAGTTGCCGGTGATATTGCAATTCCACGGCGGCGGTTTTGTGACGGGAAGCAAGGATACTGTGGCGAACGATATCTTCTGTAGAAGGATCGCCAAGCTGTGTGATGTGATTGTGTTGGCCGTTGGGTACAGGTTAGCTCCAGAGAATCGATTTCCTGCAGCTTTCGAAGATGGGTTGAAGGTGCTGCATTGGGTAGCTAAGCAAGCTAATTTGGCTGAATGTTGTAAGTCCTCATTGGGAAGCAAGCAAATTGCAGATGCCTTTGGAGCATCAATGGTGGAGCCTTGGATGGCTGCTCACGGAGATCCGTCAAGGTTAGCATTCACTCCCTAGAAAGACATTATTTTGTTTCTTACTGGAAAAGAATAGTGAATAAGTGAATAACTAGTTTGTTAGGTTCATCATTTAAAATTTAAACTTGTGGAAATTCTGAAAATCTCCTAACAATAAAGGTTGGGAGTTGGGACGTGCGATCTTTCAGCATCTGTCGCACTTCATGATATTGCTTAAAGGACAGCTTCAAGAGCAGATGATTGTTGAGCACTCAAATATAAGGAACATTTTACTTAAAAATTTGGGCTCCATTTTTTATCATGTTAGCCGACCCCAATATCTTTTGGGATGGCTTGGATGTTGTTGGATAATTGTATGTGCTCGTTTGGTATGTAATTACTATGTATGTGCTCGTTTGGTATGTAATTACTAATAAGTTTAAAAGGCACTAGCAAAGGCGCTAGGCACACCCACGCGCCTTATCCCTCGCTTCTAGCCTCCGCCTCGGGCTTCGAGTAAAATGAATCAAAACGCCTCATGCTGCCGCGTGCCTTGTAAAATTAAGGTTCTGTAGTCTTCAATCATAAGCAATTGGAATACAAAAGTACATGTATAGGGTACATGGTATCCTTTAATGTGTGCTCATGTGGAGACTAAATCAGTAAAATAAACATATTTTGAATTAACAAAGAACTCTATATGTTCAACTTTCACCAAAATGCTAAGTTTGATAAATCACATGGTATCTTAAGAAGTGCGCAATTTTATGCTTGTGATTGATAATGAACCCCACTAAAGTGTATTAGTTAGTATTATACATATTAATATCATAAACTTCATCCGGTTCACAATGACACAATGAGGTGCAATTTTGGAGGATTTTACTGTAAACAATTAGTGTCGGACTTTCGGTTTATTACACCTAAGACAACATCTTATGCTATTTTCCGTTTTAACCCTTTTTATAAAACCAAGACAACATATTTAGGAGTATTTCAAGAGGGGTTAATGGGTTATATTGTCAAAAAATCATTTAATGATTCCTCAAGATGTGTCTTCTTTCCAAGTGACACCTACAATGATTGTTGTGCTTTTTTACTAATGACATTTTCATTTTTGTCTCTATTCTTTTTCCCTTAATTATTCAACTCTTTTTCCCCATCAACCAAACTACGTAGTATAGACGATGATAAGGGTTAACTGAAAGAATGAATTTGGATTCATATGACGCTATTTTGTTTGAGGTTTCTTGATCATAAAATACCAACTAAGTTTGGCTGATTCTGCATTATCTCTACAGAAGGGAAAGAAACATCTGCAACAATGTACATTGCCTGCCTTTTTGTCTGTCAGGATAGTAGTTTCCTTGTAATAGAAGTATATTTCGTGTTATGTTGTCTTTGCTTCTTGCGTGCTCCATTCTTGCATATTAGTCTATTAGGTATCTCTGTAGAAATCATGTGAAGTTTTGAATTTTAATATTCTGTAGTTGAGTTAACCAGATGAGGTCATTTACATCATTATCACTCATGTTGTTTTGACATATATATATGAACTCTGAAGTAATGAAGTTGAATGTTTCTACCACTTCAAAACTATCTGTTGTCTTCATAGTGTAATTATGAACAACATTCGGCGCATTATGCAGATGTGTACTCCTTGGAGTGAGCTGTGGGGGTAATATTGCTGATCATGTGGCACGGAAAGCCGTAGAGGCAGGCAAGCGCTTGAACCCGGTCAAGGTAGTGGCACAAGTTCTGATGTACCCCTTTTTCATCGGAAGCATTCCCACACACTCGGAGATAAAGCTTGCCAACTCCTACTTCTACGACAAGGCCACATGTATACTCGCGTGGAAATTATTACTACCAGAGAGTGAATTCAATCTTGACCACCCAGCCGCTAACCCACTTGTCCCAGGGAGGGGACCTGCATTGAAACGGATGCCCCCAACATTGACAATTGTGGCAGAGCATGACTGGATGAGGGATAGGGCCATTGCCTACTCAGAGGAGCTGAGGAAGGTAAATGTTGATGCGCCGGTGTTAGACTATAAGGATGCAGTGCATGAATTTGCAACTCTAGACATGCTTCTTAAGACCCCACAGGCTCAAGCGTGTGCCGAAGATATCGCCATATGGGTTAAGAAGCACATCTCTCTCCGAGGTCATGAGTTTTCATACTGAGTTATGAATTCGGGGACAGTCTTGTAATTCCCTGTGCCTGATGGGTCTAACATTAAAAAGGCCTGTTTTGCCCTTTATCTGTAGAGAAAACAGAGGTATAATTTGGGCATGAGATGATGGTCTCCTTACAAGACCGCCCTGAGTTTTGATCACACTATGCTGCACAACCCATGGGACTCTTTGTATGCGGAGATGTCTGTCCGTTGACAATGATGATTCGGGTGTAAGAAAGTACTTTCCCGATCGATTGCAGAATTCGAAGATAAACCCTGTTGTAGGTGCTCCCCCGACTAATTCTCTTCATTCCATTTGTTATTGAATTTGTACAATCCTTCGTGAATATATATATATATATATATTAATGAGATATTACCCAAAATAGGACTAAAAGAGTTAAAAAATTCCAAAATAGGACTACCATGTTTTTATTCCCAAAATAGGACTAATTACTGTCATGTTTTGGCAATACCAGACTTCAAACATGGTAGTATTTTCCAAACTTGGCAGTAATTACTCCTATTTTGGGAATAAAAACATGACAGTCCTATTTTGGAATTTCCAAACTTTTTTAGTCCTATTTCGGGAACTTTCCCTATATTAATTTGTACTCCTTTTCCGTCTCTCTGAATATAATTGTATTTGTTTTTTTGCATGCACATTCTTAAAATCCCTTTGTGCCATAGTTGTTAGATTATTTCGTGCACGCTTTGCTCTGAGATCGTGACTCCCTCTGATTTGGGGTTTAGTTGCTTGCACTCTTGACCTATTGAAATTTAGAGGGGGTTGTTGAATTGTTGTTGTTAGAACAAGTTTTGGTTTTCCATAGTTCCAAAATGGTTTGGAGTTTGGATAGTTTTGTCTTGTTGACTGCCCGTCATTGTAGATTTTGTAGACGGTGTAAACTACAACAATATTTTTATGTACGCACGTATTTTAAAATTTGTGCAATTTGTTAACTTTGTTTTTATTGTACCACTTTGAACTTGTAATGCATTTAGCTGAATCGGGGACTAATTAAAACAATAATAGTGCATAAGATGCGTATAAGTGAAATGAAAAAAAAAGCGTATAAGTGAAATGAAAAGGGTATAATGAACCAAACCTCTCGTGATATGGAAATTCGGTGCATTAAACCCTGTGATTTAAAAAATGTGTCAAACCCCATTGCGTTTTAATTAATTATGCGCAAAATCCCTTTTATGAATAAATTTAATGATTTGGAAATAATTTTTTCTAATATTCTGACTGAATATGCAAGTAAATATGTCAAAATCTCTATATCATACAAAAAATTTAATCATTTTTCTTTTAGTTGACAATTTAATTTGTTCATATAAGGGATTTTGCGCATAATTAATTAAAACACAATGAGGTTTGACGCATTTTTTAAATCATAGGGGGTTAATGCGCCAAATTTCCATATCACGAGGCGGTTTGGTGCATTTAATCCGAAATGAAAATATATGGGTTGTCTATACTAAGTTAGTCAATGTAGTTCAATTTATTTGAAAATATATGGGATGTCTATACTAATTAGCTGCTTTAGGCGATTCTGAATACGCCAGGCTTAACATTATTGAGTCCCGATCCTATCAGGCCGGCCTGACGGAAACTGCCGTCCGGTTGAGGCCATTAGAGGCCCTTTCCGGTGAAATGTTTTGATGAATTTTTTTGAGCATGTTCCTCATCAAGTCTAGTTTATCCATACCAAATTTCAGCTAAAAATTCAATCGGGAAGACACTCAAATAAATGTTCTACAAAAACTGCACTTTATATATACATAAACTGCGCAGTTTTGGTAGAGAATTTATTTCATTGCCTTCCCGGTAGAATTTTTAGCTGAAATTTGGTATGAACAAACTAGACTTGATGAGGAACATGCTCAAAAAATTTAATCAAAAAATTCCACCGGGAAGGGCCTCTGATGGCCTCGGCCTGATGGCGGTTCCCATCAGGCCGGCCTAATATGATCTGTCCTCTAACATTATTATTAAATGATATTATTATTATTATTCTTATTATTATTATTATTATTATTATTATTATTATTATTATTATTATTATTATTATTATTATTATTATTATTATTATTATTATTATTATTATTATTATTATTATTATTATTATTATTATTATTATTATTATTATTATTATTATTATTATTATTATTATTATTATTATTATTATTATTATTATTATTATTATTATTATTATTATTATTATTATTATTATTATTATTATTATTATTATTATTATTATTATTATTATTATTATTATTATTATTATTATTATTATTATTATTATTATTATTATTATTATTATTATTATTATTATTATTATTATTATTATTATTATTATTATTATTATTATTATTATTATTATTATTATTATTATTATTATTATTATTATTATTATTATTATTATTATTATTATTATTATTATTATTATTATTATTATTATTATTATTATTATTATTATTATTATTATTATTATTATTATTATTATTATTATTATTATTATTATTATTATTATTATTATTATTATTATTATTATTATTATTATTATTATTATTATTATTATTATTATTATTATTATTATTATTATTATTATTATTATTATTATTATTATTATTATTATTATTATTATTATTATTATTATTATTATTATTATTATTATTATTATTATTATTATTATTATTATTATTATTATTATTATTATTATTATTATTATTATTATTATTATTATTATTATTATTATTATTATTATTATTATTATTATTATTATTATTATTATTATTATTATTATTATTATTATTATTATTATTATTATTATTATTATTATTATTATTATTATTATTATTATTATTATTATTATTATTATTATTATTATTATTATTATTATTATTATTATTATTATTATTATTATTATTATTATTATTATTATTATTATTATTATTATTATTATTATTATTATTATTATTATTATTATTATTATTATTATTATTATTATTATTATTATTATTATTATTATTATTATTATTATTATTATTATTATTATTATTATTATTATTATTATTATTATTATTATTATTATTATTATTATTATTATTATTATTATTATTATTATTATTATTATTATTATTATTATTATTATTATTATTATTATTATTATTATTATTATTATTATTATTATTATTATTATTATTATTATTATTATTATTATTATTATTATTATTATTATTATTATTATTATTATTATTATTATTATTATTATTATTATTATTATTATTATTATTATTATTATTATTATTATTATTATTATTATTATTATTATTATTATTATTATTATTATTATTATTATTATTATTATTATTATTATTATTATTATTATTATTATTATTATTATTATTATTATTATTATTATTATTATTATTATTATTATTATTATTATTATTATTATTATTATTATTATTATTATTATTATTATTATTATTATTATTATTATTATTATTATTATTATTATTATTATTATTATTATTATTATTATTATTATTATTATTATTATTATTATTATTATTATTATTATTATTATTATTATTATTATTATTATTATTATTATTATTATTATTATTATTATTATTATTATTATTATTATTATTATTATTATTATTATTATTATTATTATTATTATTATTATTATTATTATTATTATTATTATTATTATTATTATTATTATTATTATTATTATTATTATTATTATTATTATTATTATTATTATTATTATTATTATTATTATTATTATTATTATTATTATTATTATTATTATTATTATTATTATTATTATTATTATTATTATTATTATTATTATTATTATTATTATTATTATTATTATTATTATTATTATTATTATTATTATTATTATTATTACTATTATTACTATTATTACTATTATTACTATTATTATCTTTATCCTTGTATTAAACTTGGAATGTTATAATAATGATTTTAACTACTTTGTAGACTATGGTAGTGTTTGTTTTGTGTATGTTATTTGTTTTAGAGAATGAAGAACTGCGTAATTGTAAAGTTGGCGATGATTAGAAATAAAAATGAGTTTGAGAAAAGTACAAGTTAGAATGTTAGATTATTATAATGTGATTTAATTTGGCAAAATATGATAGAAAACTCTAAACTCTAAAGTATTGTAAGCATACATCTCCTAACACAGCTTTTAAATTCGAAAAGCAAAGCTAAGATGTTTGTACTTGGACTAAAATTTGATGGTCCGGTCTGATAAATGTCAGGTCTCTTTGTATTTTATAACTATGAAAGTCTGGTCTGGTCTAGCCCGTTTAAGCCTGGTCTGGTCTTGTTTGTTAAAGACTGGTCTGGAACTAAAAACAATCCAAGTAAATATATTCTTAAGTACAAAGTATAAAACAATTATTTAAAAATTAATTCAAGAAGATATGCTGTGGTGCATGATGTTTGATGATAATATTGTATTGATTGATGAGACACAATTGAGTGTTAAAGTAAAGTTGGAACTATGTCGACAAATATTGGAGACCAAAGGCTTTAGACTGAGCTGAAGCAAGATTGACAATATGAAGTGCAAGTTTGGTGGAGGTAGAAGTAGTAGTAACAATGGGATTACTTTGGATGGTAAAGAGATACTGATGAGTGATATGCTCCTTTATTTGGGTTCCATAATTCAGAAGGATAGATGATTAATTAGATGGAGATGTATCACATAGAATCAGAGTTGTGTGGATGAAATGGAAGAGTGCATCAACATTTCTATGCGATCGATGTATGCTGACTAGGCTGAATGACAAATATTATTGAACATCAATTAGGTTTGCATTAATGTATGGCGTAGAGTGTTAGGCGGTGAAACTAGGGATGGCCTCGGGCCGGTTCGAGCCTGGGCCCGGCCGGGCCTCGGGTCTGTTTTGTTGGGCCCGAGCCCGAACCGGTGGCCACCGGTTTCGGGTCCGGTTCCGGGCCGGGCCACCCGGTTAGTTTATTTTTTTTCCCTTTTCTTTTCTCCCCCCCCACCCCCCAAACCCCCCAAACCCCCCAAACCGGTCCTAAACATCAAGCCCAACTCAATAAAGCCCAAAAAAAATGAAAAAAACAAAAAAAAAAAAGTTTTTGGCCCGGGCCCGACCCAGCCGGGCCGGTTCGCCAAAAATTGTAACCGAGCCCGGAACCGCCCAAGCCCCCGGGCCTAGGCCCGAACCGGACCCGGACCCGAAAAACCGGGTCGGGCCGGTCCCGCACAGTAGCGGGTCGGGCCGGTCCCGCACAGTAGCGGGCCGGGCCGGTTCCCGGGCCGGGCAGCCCGAACTGAGGCCATCCCTAGGTGAAACAATGTCACATTCAAAATATGAGCGTGACAGAGATGCGTATGCTGCGTCGAATGTGTTGACATACCAGAAAAGACCGCTGGAGGAATGACATAATCAGACAAAAGCTGGGAGTAACACCTATAGAAGATAAGATGCAGGAGTCTCGTTTGCGGTGGTTTGGGCATGTTCTTAGAATACCGAGTGATGCACCTGTTAGACGACTTTAGGGGTGAGGAGAGGAGACAGAGGAGAGACAGGGGAAGACCCAAACAAACTTGGATTAGAGGAATCAAAATTGATATGCGTCTTCTTGGGTTGGATGAAAGTATGAATTTGAAAAGAGTATGACTTTGGAAAGAGCAAAATGGATGGAGCACATTCGTGTGGATGAGTGATCTATTCTCTCTCTCTGTGTGTGTGTTCTTATGTTATGTTTATGTTCTATCTTTTTTATGCTCTTTTGTCTTTTTATCTTTTATCTTTATTATATTATATTATGTTTTAGTTATCTTATATTTACTTTATCTTATCCATTTTTAACTTACTCTTTTCCCCTTATCTTTTTTTTACTTTTACGCACTAATAACATGAATCGATATGTTAGTCAACCCCAAAATCTTTTAGGATTCAAGCTTGACCATTGTTGTTGTATTACTTTTAATTTTTTAATATGTTCGTATGCTATGAATATTACTAAAAGCCATAGGGAAGATTAACACTGATAATCCAACCAATTCATGATCTTCTATTATTAATCCCTCATATGAGTTATTCTAAATTAATACCGATTAAGGAGTCAACATTCCCGAACATTCTGTTAACTTGAAGCCCAGATCTTAGCCGGTAATAAAGAATCACGTGATTGCAGGCCTCTCATGTAAGAAAGTAAGTAATTGTAGTCGAAGAATGCAAACAAAAGCATTCGCCATGAAGTTCGTGAGTGGTCCTCTTCTTGGAAATGCAACTCAACTAGAGGTGAGGTCAGACGTAATTGTCATCACAACATAGAGGCCAAAGTAAGAACGATTAAAATCTTGGATAATTTTTTTGAATGCTCACTTTAGCTGTATGTATTCCGTGTTTGCAATTTTGATTGTATTAGTATGGATATTAGGTTAACCCACAAATAAGGTTATTGCTTGAATTTAGGTTACCTATGACAATTTTGGTTGAATTTAGGGTTTTCATACCAGGTAAGATAAGGTGAAACTGGTTTAGTATAATTTAGGAGTTTCATAAGTTAATTTATTGTGAATAGGTTTGTTTAAATTAATGGCGATTGGCTGCAGATTTTATAGGCAATTGACGTGCATTTGTGAAATTTATATATGTATCTTCTGTGATGTACATATTATTTTTACTAGGTGTGACTTATATTATTTGTGTTGTGGTGACATTAGAATGGAGATTGTGGGTACTTTCAATGGTACAATGACAACCACTTGCATTATGATGAATACAAAATGATTAACAAAGACACAGTGATTGAGAAATTGTTGGCAGAGAAGAAGATCTTGGAAGAAAAATTACAAAAGCTGAAGAACAAGAAAAATAAAATGAGTGTTGTGATAACTGAAGTGGAGATGATGGCTTCCAAAAATCCTAAAGGAGAAAGATATGTGTTGGGATCTTAGGGTCCGGCCCAGTAACTCGGCCCAAAATATCCTTAAAGCCCAAAAGAAGCAGTGAAGCCCAATGAATATCAGGCAGAGCATTGGGGTCCCGAACGGGTTCTCGCCCACTGAGCATGAACCGTTCGGTAGTTCCCAAATGGGTCAAGTTCCATACTTGACAGATAACGAGCATCCTTCTTGGTTACTAATTACATCAGCCTAAAGTACCAATCGAGAAAGCCTTGCAAGTGGCAAGGGCACATTTAATGCCGGAGTATGGGTACTCAAGTGAGAGCATGGGTGTTGCAAGTGGCAAAGGGGTCAGCCATTCAAAATCCGCCACGTCATCTCACCCATCTACCCACCTCTAGTATACATCGTAACATTTATTTTATTGTAAAGAGTTAGCATTTTGATACTCATTAGCATTATACTTGACTCTAGTTCTTGTATTATTAGTTTGTCCGTACTCCCGTTCGGTCATTTCTCTGTAATAACACAATCTCACTAATGCAATTGGAGCCATTGAGTCATCTGATCTATTGATTTCCTTTGGATCTAATCGAATTAACCTCAACAATATGCTATTATGGTTGTACTTGTACCTTGGATAGTGTTTGCTATTCTAAGTTATTTGAAGTGAAATATATAAGAGTAAACTTTATGCTAATGTACTTGTTGAGGTTGTATGTTAGCTATAACAGTGTGTCAAATTTGTACCATTGCTACCATGTGTATGAACTGTTTGGAAGGACAAGTTTATCTTTAAACATGTGTATGTTTCATTAACTTGTGTGTTACCATTTTGTGTAAAAGTGCAAGAAGGTTATAATCCTTTTGTTCAATATTTACAATACCGTTCAATATCATTTTGAATACTGTTGGTCCCGTTTAATATGGTAACCAGTCTAGAGGGGGGGGGGGGGGGGTGAATAGACTGGTTGGTTTTTCTAATTTTCTCTAAGTCCAACTTGACTTATCAGAGAAGGTCTGATTCTGATGACAGAGACAGGCTGGTTCTGATATCAGAACTGGCCTTGGCAGCGGATTCTGATCTGTCCGGGTAGCCTCAGAAACACTAAGGCAAATGCCTTTCTGATAACTCTTAAAACAAGATCTGCTGAACACAGATTCCAAGTCTTAGAGTTAATCAGTTAATGTCCTAAGTGCAGAAATATAAATTGCAGTAAAGTAAATGACACCGGATATTTTATAGTGGTTCAAGGAACAACTCGTTCCTCTAGTCCACTGTTCCACTAGCTTTGAAGTAGATCGGTTACAAAGCTTAGTTCCTAGCACTTAAGAAGTTCTCCACGCCTTCTTCAAGTCTAGCTGCCACCCAGGATGCAATTCCACGTCCTGATGGCTGGTCCTTTCACTCAGCTTCCCGGAAGTATCACCACTTCACTACTGCAGTTACTTGGACGCCCTTCTTTTCAGAAGATTCTTTGAAAAACAGAGTTTTTCCTCCAACTTGCTTCGTTACAAAGGATGTTTGATGAAGTTCTTGAAGTGTTGAAGAACAGGATGAACTTTGCTTGTTTGTTGGGGATGAGAGATTTGGAGTTTGAATCTTCCCAACGTAAGCTTGTCTTGTTGAAGGTTGTAGAATTTTGATCTCAAGAGAGCTTGAATGATGATTTGCAAGAGCTGTGGCTAAAAAGTTCTTTTTCTGTTCTTCGATGTGTAGCTTATATACTGAGGTTGTCTGCCCGTTGGAGGAGGAGACAACTGCATTAAATGCGCCTACTGTTGACTTGACCGCCGTTTTGGAAGGTTTCTATTTTTATAATATATCTTCCCGGATTCCTTGGTCAATCATTTGCAATCAATCCTTCAGCGTATCAGGCTCATTTAATGTGCATTAAATGCTTTCCTTTCATGCACAGTCTTCTAGCCGTTGGATGTTTTTACCCGTTGAATTCATAGCTGTTGGATGTTGCTTGAAATCGTCTGAGTGTTCGTCGAGCTCTGATCAGGTTCTTCTGATATGTTGGATTCTGATGGCTATCTGATGAGTTGAGTTCTGATGGTCTTCTGATCTCTGACTGAACTCTGACTCTGATAGGTCCGCTGATGAGTGCTTCTGATCTGTAGTTCTTCATCGGCTATCAGATGTCCAGGCTTATCAGCAACTCTCATGATGCACCTCTGATGGACTTCTGGTAAGAGAACTCTGATGGAGCAGTTCTCATAGAGCAAGTCTGGTCGAGCAGTTCTGATGCACTTCTGATCTGATCCATAATAGAGCAACTCTGATCGTCGACTACACTAATACTTACAATTGAAAGTTCTAATACATAAAATCTAATTTGGGGGTACTTTAAAATTCTAATCCTATAGCATCATCAAAATCTAATTACATTTATTCCTTACAATTTCCCCCTTTTTGATGATGCCAAAACCCTTAAACTATTTCCAGAGAAGTGCCTTTCACCATAAAGAAAATAAGAAAAAAAATAAACTTTCATTTAAAAACTTGGTGGGCACTTAGCATAGGAAAGTAGTAAGAGTGAGATACAATCAATCACGCAATAATCAAATAAGGATAGAAAGCAGTAGATAACACAAAATATGATATAGCCAAGCAAATTAGAGGCAGAGAGGTTATCTTATTAATCAGAGTTTTTCAAACAAGAAATGCAAAAGAGATAAAGTTTAGAAATCTTCCTCTGCAACCTCTGCAAGAACAGCCTCTTCTTTTGCCTTGGTTTCTTGGAGTTCAGCATTTACTCTTGCTCTAATTGAAGCAAGGTTCCTGGGAGTCATGTATCTCTTCCAGAGTGGAGTAAGCTGGCAATCAAGATAGTACCTTATTGCATCCTTCTCATCCTTCCCAGGTAGGATCCTCAATCTCCACCATTCCTCAGCTTCTTCTATTGATCCTCCATGAGCAATGGTGATGATGCCATTCTCATCTTGGATCAGATTCTCACACTGCAGGGGAGTCATATGCTTTTTCATCTCAGCAAATTGGACTTTGTCTGGTTTAGACAACCCACTGTTCAGCCATTGGTTCAGTGTGAAAGATGGAGATTTCTTCTTCGTTGAACGAGGAGGAGGAGGTCTCTGAATGCCAGTAGCTAGCCTCTTTTGCCTTGCTCTTTCATAGTATCTGGCAGGGTTAATAGCTCTTGAGCTTGGGCCTTCTGCTTCTCTGGGAGGTGGAACAGGTTCTCTGCTATCTTCCCCCTTTTTGGCATCAACAAGATCGCCAAGTAGGAGTCCAATTTTCGAGAATTCTGAAGCATGGTTTTCCTTGATAGCTTCAAGTGTACCTGGTAGAGTGTGACACTCCTTAAATTTAAAAAAAAAAAACAAATTTAATATTAACTAAGATGTAATATCTGCTAATTGTACATATGGATATTTTCTTAACTTATGCTTCGAGACGAAGCATCTTTTAAGGTGGGTAGAATGTGACACCCCGGAAAATTTAATAAAAAGATTTAATATTAACTAAACATGTGATACCACACAATTGTAGTTGCGGATAGTTTTCTTAGCTTATGCTTCGGGACGAAGCATCTTTTAAGGAGGGTAGATTGTGACACCCCAAAAATTTAAATAAAATAAATAATTTTATTAGTCAGATAAAATAAGTGAATCAGATAAAATTTTAACATCAATGACATTTTTTTTAAGATAAAAATGTTTCAATAATAAAGTGACATTTTTGTAACAAGTGATAACTATAGAGATGGTATAAATAATAAAAGTGATATTTTAACAATTCTAATTCCAAGATATTGGTTAATAAAGTTGTACCGAAATATATAACAAAGTTGACTTTTTGAACCCAACCCCAATAATAATATGTACATTACTATACGTGGGATTCTTATATGTGACATGCCTGGGAGTAATTGCCAAAGACATACGCAGTACCTCGTATACAATACATCTTAGCCGCTGGTTTATGAAGGCTGAAGTCTACGTTCATGAACAAACGTACTGGGTCAATTGCCAAACATTTCCACATGGTATTGTTTACATCACAGTGCTACTCTTCAATAATAATACACACCAAAACAAACGTACTGGGTCACCATAATAGATGTGATAAGATTTGCAAGCACAGGAAACGCTAAAGTTAGAAGCATCGGCGAAGGAATAATCAGCGTGGACTATTGAGATCCACTTATTATTTACGTTCGACGACAATTGAGATCCCTAGCTACCTGCGTTCACAACTTTATATACGCTACCTCAACCCTGCCAAACAAAAACCTACGACCTTAATATACATTAAGTCTGCGTGTGAAGATAGAAAACAAAGAAGAAGAAGAAAATATCGAAGAAAGAAAAGAAAAGAAACGTGAGAAAGAAGAGAGAAAAGAAGAAAAGAGTGAGGGAAAGAAAGGAGTAGAGGACTGTCCGAATAATCGCCACCACCCAACAAAACGCCTCGCCGGGAAAAATTTCAACGACGCCGGAAAAAGGAGCTCGTCGGTAAAAGAAAGCAGGCTTGCTGTAACACAGTAGCAGGCCGCCAAGGAGAGAGACTGCTGCTGCGCCGGAGGAAGAATATCCCAGACGGCTGCTACCCAATCGCCGGACTGAACGAACTCTACTCGCCGCCTCACCGGTACTCTCTAAAGAAGACGTACGACTCGTATGTATATGTATACTCTGCGTTATTTTTCTTCAGTTTCTTACATCTGCGCTGAAGCTTTATTTATGTTAGGCTGGACTGTTTGTTACACCGTTGGGCTGCCAGAATAGCTTAAAAGAAATATGAAGATGGCCTGAGCAAATGACAATAAATAAACAATGAGATTAACAATAAGTATAATAATAATAAAGTAGGACTAAACTATTGTAACTGGAATTTTGGCAATCCGAAAAGCCTAAATTTCTGGACCAACAAGGGAGATTATTATAATATAAAGCCAAGTGCGTAGATAATAAAATCTGAAATCTTAAGTAAATTAAAAATGGCCTGATTGTACTGTTAGCCTAAAATGAACGGAGTAAATAATGAGACTTATTAATGGACCAATTAATAAATGGATTAGTATCTGGACGAACTAACTACTATTCAAATGTGAATAAAAGTTATTAATCATGAGAGAGTTAAATTTAAACTATAACCGAGTAAATATTAGTAAAGTTCTAGAGTAGTTATTAATGAAAGAATTTTAATATTCTTTAGAAGGTGATTTCGGTGAAGATGGAAGTAGAAGCTTCGGTTAGGAATTATCGCAATTCGAGGTAAGTACTATGCCAACCAAATTTCATGCTTTTCCCATATAAATATATTTGTGACTAGTTATTTGAGATCATTTGAGTATATGATAGTTAATGAGATTTTACGTATCAATTGTGATTGTGAATTATATATATTTGAGATTTGAGTATTTTATATTGGGTGATATTTTGAGCATTTGAATTTACGTATGAATTGTTATTTGTTTGAGATTTGAAATTTGAGCTATTTATGAAGTATCCTATATTTTGGACTATTTATGGTATATTTGAGAATGATGAGTTGGAGTTAATAATTTTATTGTGAATAATTTTGTGGAATTTGGATTTCATATCCATTTTGATTGAGGTTATGATATTGGAACTTTGAGATTGAATTATGATTTTGTGAGTACTTGGAGAAATGTGGATTTGGTGAGTGGTAATGGCTATAAGTCTAATTCCACCAGGGATCTCCCAAAAGTGGAGCATCCCAGCTTAATTGTAGTAGTCGGTAGAAAAATCCCGACTACTCGGACTTTTTACTACCCGGAGAGCTTGGAATCTCTTTTAGGGGGTGTGCACACTTAAGGTAGGAGTTCGGCTTCCATTGGATTTGGTTGAGTTTGAATGATTGGACTTGAGATGATTTGGATTATTTGGTTGGACTGGATGGAGATGAATTGAACTACATTATATTGGATTATTTGAGTGGGTTATATTTGTTTGGATTGGATTGAATTTGATGTGGTTGAGATTATTAAATTATTTGTAGATTTTCAAAGTAATACTTATTAATTTGATTTGATATGGTTATGTTGAATATTGACTATGAGTATTTGGAAGTATTTTGAGATGAATATTTGGGCTTTACATATGATTTATGTTTTGGAAATAATATGATTTACATACGAATTTACGAGGATTTTGGTGGTTTAGGTGTATTGACCTTTTAGAATTATTATGATTGGAAATATGTACCTATATTTGGAATATTATTATTTTACATGTGATTTTGTGATGAGAAGTTTGTATAAAATGTTTCATGAGGTTTCCTCCCAAATGTTTTCACAAAAATGATATATATGTATCAAACATGATTATTTTACAGGGTTGGGTGGGCCTTACTTAGCATTTCCAGCTAATTTTTGTTTCTTTGTGTTTTCCTTTCTGTACCTTATTTGTGCAGGAATTGAGGATCATATTGAAGTTGATTTCGAGAGCTTCCGCTAGAACACATAGACTAAAGTGATTGAGTAATTTATTTTAGTCTTAATTTTAAAGAATTGTAGTTGAACAGTTAATTATGGAAAATTTTATTTTGTTGGTGGTGGATAGCCTGTGCACTCGGTTATGTGAGAACCGAGTGTGGCGGTAACGCCCCAGTTTCCCTTTGAATTTTCCGCTGCATAATTCTGATAAATCATTATTTAAATGTATTTTTGGGTGGGAAATTTGGGGGTGTTACAAATTGGTATCAGAGTCTTTCATTTTTTTTTTAATGGGGGTTTTCAAACATTTTCTGAGATTTTCCTTTTCCTCAAGTGATACCAACAAATTGGTATGACTTACTGTTTTCGAAAGTGGATTTTTGAATAAAAGTTTTCATTCACTAACTTCGGTTTTCAAAAAAAAAAAAAAGAGTTCATAACATTTTATAAGATTTTCTAAAACTCTTTTAGAGATACCAACAAATTGGTATGGAAGCCTATGATTTTCAAACTTCGAATTTTCAAATAAAACTTTCTTCATGTAACTATGATCTTCAAAAAGGCTTTACTTTTTAAAAGCGATTGAAATTTTTCCAAAAAGTTTTCTTAATGTTTTTCCTAAAAAAAAAAAAAGAAAAATGTATATCGGTCTTCTAAATGTTCTTCAACAAAAAGAAATTTAGGGATAATAAGTCGTATTAAGAAAGAATAAGCTAAAAAAAAAAAACAAGTCTAGGATACGGGTGAGAATGTGAGATTTTGAATTTCTACTTTGATGGAGTTTGTGGTTATTTGAATTATTTGAGTTATACTTATATGAGGTATATATTTATTGACTCATTCGAGAATGAGTTCGGACTTTTAGAGGAACTTACCAAATTATGTGAGTAGTGAGTTACTTCATATTAATTAATTAAGGTAGTATAAATGTGAATATCATTGACATACTTCGTGTCCTAAACATTATTCTTTCAAGTAGACAATGAAGTCAACGAGAACCAAAGTAGAAGACAATATCGCCGCACCGACGAATGCGGAGCTGGCTCAAAATATGGTTCAACTCATCCAGACTATCGGAAGTGTGTTAGTTCAGAACCAACACCAACAACGTCTCAAAAACCGCAATGATGTAGCGAAACTTGTTGCAAAGCGTAATCCCCCGTGTTATATAGGCCAAGAAGATCCTCTCATCCTTGAGGATTGGATTCGCACTTTCGACAAACTCTTCGATGCTATAAACTGCCCTGCAGAACAACGAATTAATACGGCTGCGTACTATCTACGTCAAGAGGCGGACAATTGGTGGGCCACGACTGCCCCAACGTTGCGTCAACAACCCGACTTTTCTTGGGAGACGTTCAAGGAGGCAATGCGAAAAAGATTCTACCCAGAGCACGTGAAAGCTGAGAAGTATGAAGAATTCTTACACCTGAAACAATTGGGTATGACTGTCCAAGAGTATCACGCTAAATTCTTGAATCTCGCACGATTTGCTCCCACGCTAGTTCCCGATGAAATCGAGAAAACAAATAAGTTTATACGCGGTCTAAACTTCGAGACACAAAAAGCTCTTTGCGTTTCAGAATGCCAAACGTTGAACGATGCCTACGACAAAGCTGGCAAGCACTATCGAGTGCAACAACTCCAGAAGAAAACACTCAAGAGAGCGAGGAAAGTGACTGAAGGAGAAAGCAAACCGGGAGGCAAACAATGCAAGCTAAATCAGCTAGGGCACACTCGGAACGAGAAGAAGATCAACAACCAAGGCCAAGACCAGAAGCGTAAGAAGAAGAACTCAACAGAAGAGATGCACTTCTACTGCTCGAAGTGTAGAAAAGATCACCCTGGGAAATATTGTGATGGAACGCTCGTACGATGTTTTCATTGTGACAAGCTAGGACATAGGGTGTTCGAGTGTTATTCAAGGAAGAAGGGATTCCCTCCGACTCGTGGAATCAATCGTCATGAAAATAATGCAAAACACAATAGAAGAATATGAAAATAGTAAGCGAAATCATATAAAATTTCTTATTTTTAAAATTAGTAAATATGTTTGAAGACTTATGTATTGTTTGATCTTTGATGAATAAATTATTCTTGAATATGTTAAATGCTTCGGGGACGAAGCATCTCTTTAAGGAGGGTAGAATGTGACACTCCTTAAATTTAAAAAAAAAAAACAAATTTAATATTAACTAAGATGTAATATCTGCTAATTGTACATATGGATATTTTCTTAACTTATGCTTCGAGACGAAGCATCTTTTAAGGTGGGTAGAATGTGACACCCCGGAAAATTTAATAAAAAGATTTAATATTAACTAAACATGTGATACCACACAATTGTAGTTGCGGATAGTTTTCTTAGCTTATGCTTCGGGACGAAGCATCTTTTAAGGAGGGTAGATTGTGACACCCCAAAAATTTAAATAAAATAAATAATTTTATTAGTCAGATAAAATAAGTGAATCAGATAAAATTTTAACATCAATGACATTTTTTTTAAGATAAAAATGTTTCAATAATAAAGTGACATTTTTGTAACAAGTGATAACTATAGAGATGGTATAAATAATAAAAGTGATATTTTAACAATTCTAATTCCAAGATATTGGTTAATAAAGTTGTACCGAAATATATAACAAAGTTGACTTTTTGAACCCAACCCCAATAATAATATGTACATTACTATACGTGGGATTCTTATATGTGACATGCCTGGGAGTAATTGCCAAAGACATACGCAGTACCTCGTATACAATACATCTTAGCCGCTGGTTTATGAAGGCTGAAGTCTACGTTCATGAACAAACGTACTGGGTCAATTGCCAAACATTTCCACATGGTATTGTTTACATCACAGTGCTACTCTTCAATAATAATACACACCAAAACAAACGTACTGGGTCACCATAATAGATGTGATAAGATTTGCAAGCACAGGAAACGCTAAAGTTAGAAGCATCGGCGAAGGAATAATCAGCGTGGACTATTGAGATCCACTTATTATTTACGTTCGACGACAATTGAGATCCCTAGCTACCTGCGTTCACAACTTTATATACGCTACCTCAACCCTGCCAAACAAAAACCTACGACCTTAATATACATTAAGTCTGCGTGTGAAGATAGAAAACAAAGAAGAAGAAGAAAATATCGAAGAAAGAAAAGAAAAGAAACGTGAGAAAGAAGAGAGAAAAGAAGAAAAGAGTGAGGGAAAGAAAGGAGTAGAGGACTGTCCGAATAATCGCCACCACCCAACAAAACGCCTCGCCGGGAAAAATTTCAACGACGCCGGAAAAAGGAGCTCGTCGGTAAAAGAAAGCAGGCTTGCTGTAACACAGTAGCAGGCCGCCAAGGAGAGAGACTGCTGCTGCGCCGGAGGAAGAATATCCCAGACGGCTGCTACCCAATCGCCGGACTGAACGAACTCTACTCGCCGCCTCACCGGTACTCTCTAAAGAAGACGTACGACTCGTATGTATATGTATACTCTGCGTTATTTTTCTTCAGTTTCTTACATCTGCGCTGAAGCTTTATTTATGTTAGGCTGGACTGTTTGTTACACCGTTGGGCTGCCAGAATAGCTTAAAAGAAATATGAAGATGGCCTGAGCAAATGACAATAAATAAACAATGAGATTAACAATAAGTATAATAATAATAAAGTAGGACTAAACTATTGTAACTGGAATTTTGGCAATCCGAAAAGCCTAAATTTCTGGACCAACAAGGGAGATTATTATAATATAAAGCCAAGTGCGTAGATAATAAAATCTGAAATCTTAAGTAAATTAAAAATGGCCTGATTGTACTGTTAGCCTAAAATGAACGGAGTAAATAATGAGACTTATTAATGGACCAATTAATAAATGGATTAGTATCTGGACGAACTAACTACTATTCAAATGTGAATAAAAGTTATTAATCATGAGAGAGTTAAATTTAAACTATAACCGAGTAAATATTAGTAAAGTTCTAGAGTAGTTATTAATGAAAGAATTTTAATATTCTTTAGAAGGTGATTTCGGTGAAGATGGAAGTAGAAGCTTCGGTTAGGAATTATCGCAATTCGAGGTAAGTACTATGTCAACCAAATTTCATGCTTTTCCCATATAAATATATTTGTGACTAGTTATTTGAGATCATTTGAGTATATGATAGTTAATGAGATTTTACGTATCAATTGTGATTGTGAATTATATATATTTGAGATTTGAGTATTTTATATTGGGTGATATTTTGAGCATTTGAATTTACGTATGAATTGTTATTTGTTTGAGATTTGAAATTTGAGCTATTTATGAAGTATCCTATATTTTGGACTATTTATGGTATATTTGAGAATGATGAGTTGGAGTTAATAATTTTATTGTGAATAATTTTGTGGAATTTGGATTTCATATCCATTTTGATTGAGGTTATGATATTGGAACTTTGAGATTGAATTATGATTTTGTGAGTACTTGGAGAAATGTGGATTTGGTGAGTGGTAATGGCTATAAGTCTAATTCCACCAGGGATCTCCCAAAAGTGGAGCATCCCAGCTTAATTGTAGTAGTCGGTAGAAAAATCCCGACTACTCGGACTTTTTACTACCCGGAGAGCTTGGAATCTCTTTTAGGGGGTGTGCACACTTAAGGTAGGAGTTCGGCTTCCATTGGATTTGGTTGAGTTTGAATGATTGGACTTGAGATGATTTGGATTATTTGGTTGGACTGGATGGAGATGAATTGAACTACATTATATTGGATTATTTGAGTGGGTTATATTTGTTTGGATTGGATTGAATTTGATGTGGTTGAGATTATTAAATTATTTGTAGATTTTCAAAGTAATACTTATTAATTTGATTTGATATGGTTATGTTGAATATTGACTATGAGTATTTGGAAGTATTTTGAGATGAATATTTGGGCTTTACATATGATTTATGTTTTGGAAATAATATGATTTACATACGAATTTACGAGGATTTTGGTGGTTTAGGTGTATTGACCTTTTAGAATTATTATGATTGGAAATATGTACCTATATTTGGAATATTATTATTTTACATGTGATTTTGTGATGAGAAGTTTGTATAAAATGTTTCATGAGGTTTCCTCCCAAATGTTTTCACAAAAATGATATATATGTATCAAACATGATTATTTTACAGGGTTGGGTGGGCCTTACTTAGCATTTCCAGCTAATTTTTGTTTCTTTGTGTTTTCCTTTCTGTACCTTATTTGTGCAGGAATTGAGGATCATATTGAAGTTGATTTCGAGAGCTTCCGCTAGAACACATAGACTAAAGTGATTGAGTAATTTATTTTAGTCTTAATTTTAAAGAATTGTAGTTGAACAGTTAATTATGGAAAATTTTATTTTGTTGGTGGTGGATAGCCTGTGCACTCGGTTATGTGAGAACCGAGTGTGGCGGTAACGCCCCAGTTTCCCTTTGAATTTTCCGCTGCATAATTCTGATAAATCATTATTTAAATGTATTTTTGGGTGGGAAATTTGGGGGTGTTACATAGAGTCTGAGTAACAGAAGCCAGCCCTTCGAGAGTCTCTTTCTGCTTGTCAACAGCTGATTGGATGTCCTTAGTGGTAGCTTCAAGGAGAGTCAGCTTGTGATCTCTGTCCTTTCCACTATTGATCAATTTGATTTCAAACTCTTTGTTGTCTTTGCACAATCCTTCAACATCTTGCAGAAGTTCTGTATTTTTGTCATGAGACCACTGAAGATCACTTACCGCATCAGAGATATTCTTAATAGCCTTGTCTTGCTCTTCAAGGGCCTTTGTGTGATGAAATAATACGGCAGAGATTCCATCCACCTCCTTGGCAATGTTGCTCAGACTCTCTGTAGTTTTGTCCTTGTGAACCTCAAAAGCTGTGGCAATGATGCCTACATGCTTTAGCAGCATATTGATGCCGTTGGTGAGATGTTCACTGACTCTGGTGAGATGAGCATCAGTCTCATACTCAGCTTCCAGGAGCTTTTCCATTCCTTTGCCAATTTGGTTCCCAGTCTGCTTTAAGTCTGTCATGAAGTGTTGAAATGGAGCAGAGCCTGTGACAAGAGTTTGTACTGGCATTTTTGCAGGAGAAGATGATTGCTGTGTAGGAGCTGGCGGAGAGTTCTGATGATTGGGTTGCTGATGAGGAGAAGTCTGATGAGAGTTAGGGGATATCAGATGTTGTGGAGCAGGAGGAGGTGAAGGAGATCTGTTTCTGATGGGTGTAAGGGATTTGCAGGGTGAAGGTTGTTTGGGTGAGGGCTTCTTGGGTGAAGGGGTTGAGGTGCTCTGTTGTTGTGAAGGAGGAGGAGGTGAGGGTGAGCGGCTTCTGATGGGGGTAATCTGATGACAAGGTGAGGATGGTTTGGGTGTGGTGGATTTCTTGGGTGAGGCAGTAGGTGAAGGTGGTTTCTTAGGTGATGGAGAGGGTGAATTCTTGGGTGTTGGAGATGGGATTTGCTGAGGTTGAGGAGGAGATGGGGGTGGAGTTGTGGTTGGTGTGACTGGTTTAGGTGAGGGGGATTTGGGAGGTGATGGGATTGGGATAGGAGAGTTAGGAGTTACCTCAAGAACAGTTTCTTCAAACTGAGAGTCTCTCCATTCTCTGATAAGGTTCATCATTGCCAGAGATAGGTCATTGGCAGTTGATGGCTCTCCCTCTGTACCTGGAATCGGTTTCATCTTGATTAGAGACTCCCTCCTTTTCTTTTCCATCAGCCAGGCATCAAAGGCATCCCTCTCATGATCTTCTAGAGCCTTGACAGGTCTCTCTGGTGAGGTTGTAGATACCTTCTCCTTTCCTTTGTAGATTTCCTTCTTCTTTTCAAGGATAGAGTGCAGATATTGGAGGTCAAAGCACAAGGAGATATCATCAGTGTCTGCCCATTTGAGGACTTCAGCTTCCTCAGATTCAAAGGCTGCAGCTTGGGCA